ACTGACTCTCAGGTAGGACTCTGACTCACAGGTAGGACACTGACTCTCAGGTAGGACTCTCACTCTCAGGTAGGACACTGACTCACAGGTAGGACACTGACTCACAGGTAGGGCTCTGACTCTCAGGTAGGACACTGACTCTCAGGTAGGACACTGACTCAGGTAGGACACTGACTCTCAAGTAGGACACTAACTCACCGGTAGGACTCTGACTCTCAGGTAGGACTCTGACTCAGGTAGGACACTAACTCACAGGTAGGACTCTGACTCTCAGGTAGGACACTGACTCTCAGGTAGGACACTGACTCTCAGGTAGGACTCTGACTCTCAGGTAGGACTCTGACACTCAGGTAGGACTCTCACTCTCAGGTAGGACACTGACTCACAGGTAGGACACTGACTCATAGGTAGGACTCTGACTCTCAGTTAGGACACTGACTCACAGGTAGGACACTGACTCACAAGTAGGACACTGACTCACAGGTAGGACTCTGACTCTCAGGTAGGACACTGACTCACAGGTAGGACTCTGACTCTCAGGTAGGACAGTGACTCTCAGGTAGGACTCTGACACTCAGGTAGGACTCTCACTCTCAGGTAGGACACTGACTCACAGGTAGGACACTGACTCTCAGGTAGGACACTGACTCACAGATAGGACACTGACTCTCAGGTAGGACACTGACTCTCAGATAGGACACTGACTCACAGGTAGGACTCTGACGCACAGGTAAGACACTGACTCTCAGGTAGGACTCTGACTCACAGGTAGGACTCTGACTCAAAGGTAGGACACTGACTCTCAGGTAGGACACTGACTCTCAGGAAGGCCTATTCAGCAGTAAATTGGCAAGGACCTTCCCCCGCTGTTGGCAGAAGGGACCTACCACGATGGCTTTCACAGTCTGATCTGTCACCTGTGCGCTTGTTTATTGTAATAATAACGAGGGCTTCTTTGAATTCCTGGAGAAGTTCTTCTTGTTCCATGGTCGGAACGCGAGGAGAGTGTACTTCAGTTCCGCGCCTTCGTGTTTGTACATTTGTGGTGGAATTCCATCTTGTCCATGCACCTTGCAACACCTGGTACTCTTCATGCGTTTCTCCAGCTCTTACATAATTTACTTGTTGCGTTTGGATCAATGTTTGTTTTTACTTGGTTAAGCTAAGTGGAGAAACCCTCTGTCCATCTCTCCGTAGATGTCACGCGCATCTGTCAGTAACTGGCCTCCATCAGTGTTTCTGATAGGTAGGATGAGAGTATTTGTTCTCGGACCATAGGTCACTTTAAGAGGACTATACATCCCTTGTGGGTCACTACGAGCAGCAAGTGCATCGATTTCATCTGCGGCGCACTCCAATCAACCTGAACGTGGTGACGTCACCACGCAGCGGCGCGCTCCAATCAACCTGAGCGTGGTGACGGTACCACGCAGCCTGGCTCCAATCAATCTGAGCGTGGTGACGTCACCACGCAGCCTGGCACCAATCAACCTGAGCATGGTTACGTCGCCACACAGCCTGGCACCAATCAACCTGAGCATGCTTACGTCACCACGCAGCCTGGCACCAATCAACCTGAGCATCGTTACGTCACCACGTAGCCTGGCTCCAATCAACCTGAGCGTGGTGACGTCACCACGCAGCCTGGCACCAATAAACCTGAGTATGGTTACGTCACCACGCAGCCTGGCTCCAATCAACCTGAGCGTGGTGACGTCACCACGCAGCCTGGCACCAATAAACCTGAGTATGGTTACGTCACCACGCAGCCTGGCTCCAATCAACCTGAGCGTGGTGACGTCACCACGCAGCCTGGCTCCAATCAACCTGAGCGTGGTGACGTCACCACGCAGCCTGGCTCCAATCAACCTGAGCCTGGTGACGTCACCACGCAGCCTGGCTCCAATCAACCTGAGCGTGGTGACGTCGCCACGCAGCCAGGCTCCAATCAACCTGAGCGTGGTGACGTCACCACGCAGCGGCGCGCTCCAATCAACCTGAGCGTGGTAATGTCACCACGCAACCCGGCTCCAATCAACCTGAGCGTGGTGACGTCACCACACAGCCTGGCTCCAATCAACCTGAGCGTAGTGACGTCACCACGCAGCCTGGCTCCAATCAACCTGAGCGTGGTGACGTCACCACGCAGCCTGGCTCCAATCAACCTGAGCGTGGTGACGCCACCACGCAGCATTGCTCCAATCAACCTGAGCGTGGTGACGTCACCACGCAGCCTGGCTCGAATCAACCTGAGCGTGGTGACGTCACCACGTAGCCTGGCTCCAATCAATTCTAGATTTGAAGCTTTCGTGACTGCAAGGATCTATACGCTTTGGTTCTATTCGCTAATGTCACGGAGGTAAAAAATAAAACAACAAAAAATCACGACGTTTCGGCGACAACACAAGTGGCCTTCATCAGGGGAAGTGACCAAACTGTCCAGAGGACAGCGTTGGAGTGAAGAAAGCCAAGCCCAGGTCGCCTCCTTTAAGCTGTGAGGGGGTAAACAGAAAACGCCTTGACAAAGTAAATTAGCATAAAATGTGCCACTGTGAAAGCTTGGAATTAGCATAAAATGATATTACAACCTGCGCGTGGTGACGTCACCACGCAGCGGCGCGCTCCAATCAACCTAAGCGTAGTGACGTCACCACGCAGCGGCGCGCTCCAACCAACCTCAGCGTGGTGACGTCACCACGCAGCCTGGCCCCAATCAACCTGACGTGGTGACGTCATCACGCAGCGTGGCTCCAATCAACATGAACGTATGACGTCACTACGCAGCCTGGCTCCAATCAACCTGAGCATGGTGACGTCACCACGCAGCGGCGCTCCAAACAACCTGAGCATGGTGACGTCACCACGCAGCGGCGCGCTCCTATCATTCAGCGGGCGTCCATGTTGGTTGTAGCCATTTAGGGGGCGTCCATGTTGGTTAGGTCATTTAGCATGCGTCTGTGTTGGTTAGGTTATTTAGCGGGTGTCCGTGTTGGTTAGGTTAAGCGAACGAGGCCGCCTCCTCGTCCCAGGGTTCAGGTCCCATTTCCACTGCCACCACCACCAGAGGTCACGGGACGAAGCCACAAACCAACCCGGCCACTGGGCCGAAAGGTTTTCCCCCGCTGGTGAAGTGACGAGCCACTGTTTTGGACAGGACCACTTTCCTAAAGGTCGCTGGTAGTCGTTCTCTTAAGACCTACACTATGTTTTTGACGAATGTGTTGCGTGTGTTTTCCTGTCAATTGCGTCCGTGCACCGCTTCCAACGCAGCTTCACTCCAATCATCTGCAGCCATAGATTCCCCCACGAGAGGGTGCCACGTGTCTGTGCACTGCAGTCGATTGCAGCAGGGCCAGGCCACTGCGTTGCGGAGTCCTGTGCTAAAATAGGACCCACATCTAAGAGTTGGTTGCCTGCCAATAACATCCGGCAGTTCTCCAGTGTTCGTTCAAGCAAGCCTGACTGCTGACGAGACACTGCGTGTCGAAGCCTGTCCAGGGTGTTGCTTGTGTTGAATCAATGCAGTTGATGAGATGCAGTTTGTGCGGCTGATGGAATGAGTAGGACCGCTCGCATTATGTGGAGGTTGTTCTGTTATTTTATTCCTTGTATTGCAGCAGCTGTAGTTGTGCATTTGCCCACAAGAGGGCATTACGTGACTTGTGTAGAACCTATAGCCACCTCACCCCGATAGCTCCAACCCTATAGCCCTAACCTGCAGTGCACATATAACCATCTCAACCCTATAGCTCTGACCCTAACCTGTAATGCACACTCACCTGACCCTAAAGCCCTAACCCTAACGAGAGTTACAGCTATTTCGGGAGTCCCAATTCCATGCCGTTGCAATTCGGGCCCCCGGATGTGGAATTCCGACGCCTGGAAGTGGAATTGGGACTCCCAAGTGTGGTTTTGGGACTCTGGAAACGGAATAGAAAACAATTGAGAAGTCTAAAAAAACAAGTTTTATGTATTTTTGATTTAAAGCTTTCGTGACTGCAGTAATTCATATTCGTAGATCTTTCGGTAAAGTCACGTTGAAGGGAAACAACAAAACAATAAAATATATATAAAACAATACAAATTCTCACGTTTCGACCATAACACAAACGGTCGTCTTCAGGTTTGCGTTATGGTCGAAACGTCGTGAGAATTTTTATTGTTTTGTATATATTTTATTGTTTTGTTGTTTCCCTTCAACGTGACTTTACCGAAAGAACTAAGAATATAAGTTTATGTAGCCTGAAAAGTGTCTCGATGAGACAAGTCGAACGGTAGGTATATGGCTCGAGTCTGTAGGGATGTAGGGTTCCACTGATATTTTGAAAAAAAAACCGATTGTGTCTATGGTTGCATCGTGTGCCTTTATTACTTGAAACTGCAGTTGAAAAAAAACCAAACTCGAATACAGACAACCGGGACAGGTAACATGTCACGCATTGGTGGTGGTGACCCAGGAAATCACAATGTAGACGCTAAACAACAAAGCAAAACGTGGCCACATCAATCAGAAGCAGAGACCCAGAGAAAGAGCATCTAGGTCTGGCCTTGTAGAATACAAGGGCGAACACAGCCAGAGGGCATCTGTGAAAGGCTGGCACGGCACACGAAGGGGCAGTTTGGCCAGAAAATGCCCTGCAGCTATCGGCTCCACAGAACAATCCGGAACATACCCAGTGCTCATTTTCGATAGGCCCAAGCCGGGTAAAACTCCGCTCGCCACTCAACATTTCTGCGCTGGGGCCAGGCACATTAAGTCGGGCTGCAAGGACTGTGAACGCAGCGCGTGAATAACAACACCTTCAGTCTGCAACGAACCACGCGCACACACCGAGATACGATGATCTCCCACATAGTCTGAACAGACTGTTGGGACAAGTGCTGTTTGCGAGCACTTATGAAGGCCGGCATGGCACACGAATGGGGTGGTTGGCCAGCACCACAAACGGCCGCCTTTGTCCCCTACTAGCGATGTTTACACATCGCACCGACTCCTTATTTGAGGCCGAGTCGCCCTAGGGGGAGGCCCATTACCGGTTCAGATAATCCTCACTGGTGTTGCCTGCGAGCGTGAATCGAATTCGGCTCGCCGGGTTCGTATCACGACACGCTAAACCCGCTGCACGCCGACACGACACTACACACCCACACAACGTACCACACTACACACACAGCCACACACGCCATCCGTGGCAGACCACCTGCGCCCCTGCACAACGCACGCGGTCGTGCCCACGCGGTCCCTGCAGCAGCCAACGTCACTGCCCCTGCTGCTCGCTTGCCACGCATTCGCGGCCACTCGCGGGTACCCAATGGCGCCGGTGCAGCCCCCCGGGCGAGCATCGACGCTGCAGAGCAAAGCCACCGCGGTTCGACGGCTGACCGCACCGCACGGAAAGACGGTGGGTGGAGAAGTGGGGGTTCATTAGGAGAGAGAAGGGGTTTATAAGCAGTAGGTGGAGGCTGTGCGGCGGCGGAGGACTTGGTCGTAGGAAGTGGGCGTAGGTTGCGCGTGTAGGCGAGTGGAGGGGAGAGGTGGGGCGGGGTTTCCCTCAGTCCTCCAGGACGAAGTTGGGGTTGACGACGAGGAAGGGGTCGTCCTCCTGCACCACCTCGTCGCCCTCGCCCCGGCGCCGCTGGCCGAGCCCGGTCTTGGCGATCTCGATCAGAACGTGATCCTGACGCACGCACGCGCATACAGATACATACAGGCATACACATGTGCAATCACACACGTAGATGTGAACAATCAAATGTGCTGCGCAGTAGTGATGCAGCGGCGGTGGCGGCGGCCAGTGGCGAGTGGTGGCAAGCATGGTGGAGCTCTGTGGCGGAGGCCCGCAAAGGATGCCACGGGGCAGTTGGAGGCAGTCGCCCTCCAACAAAAACGGAGCGCAGAGAGTGCGGCGCTCTCACAACGAGCGGATACAACACAGCAAGTTGGAGCAGCAGGGGGCACAGGTGGCGCATCAGCCAGTCATCTCAGTCAGCGGGCGTTCAACGCCTCACGTGGCCTTAAAGTGTACCTATCCTGGCAAAAACGCCGTGATGTCACCATCACCCCAGTGGCGAATGGCGGTTGTTGTTACTCACATAGTGCACTAGCCGGTAGATCACTTTCTCCACCACGGTTTTCTTGGTGACCAGCTCGGCCTCGGTTTCGATCTCACTCTCAATCTCCTTCAGGTACCACTCCACCAGCTCCCCCCTGCGCACCGACGCATCCTCTTGCTCTGCAGGGCAACACGCGCGCAGCACGCACGGTCACGCACACCGCTGGCAGCCAAGCACACAGCTTACAGTGAATGCACACGGCACACAACTTTCACCACGTCACTTACAACCGGTTCATCGCATCGCTGTAAACCACCAGCCCAGCACCACACGATCGGCAAGAGCTCGTCACGAGACCATTCTACCAAGGGGGCCGCCGAGGGCCGGTATTCATTCCCAGAGAGGGCATCGGGGGGGGGAGGGGGGGGGGGGCTCACGTGTGGCGAGCAACGAGGTCCCGGGGGAACGGGCAGCCCGGCGTGACCGCGTGCACCGCGAGGGCGTTTCGCCAAAAGCAAACCCCCGTCGTTGTGATCGTTACCCTCCACGCGGCGCAGGTGCAGCACCAGCAGGTTGGAGAGGCGCCGGTATTCGCTGAAGGAGAGACGGAGAGAGGCCTTGGCCGTGGCGGGGGGGACGGCCCCCACTTCTTGCGAGGGGCTTTCAGGGGCGGACGCGTGCACAGAGCCGTTCGTTGCCCCGTTCGTTCCCCCGTTCGTTCCGTCGTTTATGCCGTCTGCGGCGTCTGGGAGAGCGGGGGCGGGTGCCACAAGGTCAGGAGTCTGTTGCGGAACGTTCTGGTTGCAAAGCGGCAAAGTCTACGTGTATATTCCAGCTCGTGGCTATGCACGGGGTCCGCGATCAAGCACCGAGGAAGCAGTTTCAGTTTCATTTGTTTGGTATAGCCCTGTGAGCCATTCGGCTCTTGAATCGGGTGCAACCGCAACAAACAAAAAACATGAACAAGAAAACATCTTAAAGTGACTATGTGTGACTGTGCAAACAGAAAATACAGGAAAAAAAAACAGCAAAATATTCCTGAAAAAGCACCGTACACCAACGCTGTGTGCAAAAATCCCAGTGGGATTTAAGTCAAACAACAACAACCACAAGACAACTTAGATTAAGGCCATCAAGTCTAACTCCGTACTACAACAAACAAACATGGCCAAACCAAAAAACGTTTTCGACATCACCAAAATAAAGCCATAAAAGCAATGTAACAGTGATCACAGGGACTGTGACCGAATTTTCACAACGACATAAACAACATGTAACACCAAACCCTAGAGCCATAGCTGGCTGCATGAGTCACTCCACAACAACAGGAGCATCAGTCGGAGTATCAAATTTTTCAATGCACCTTTAAGATCAGCACACTAAATCAAAATACAGATAATACTTTGCAGCGGTCATCCGGAGCGAAACATTTTATTTTATTTGAGGCCACTGAACAGCAGTGGCAGCTAGGGGTGTACAACTCCTCAAGAGCAGCTAGGATTGGTGGATCACAGCTTAAATTTCATGAAAATCCCTTCCCACGTGGGAGTCAAAAAGGAGCCACATCAAATTAAGCAACGATTGGAAAGATGTTCTAAAATCGAACCAAACATTAAACTAATTTTCATTGGTACAGTATATTTTTTCAAGTAGTGGTACCCCAAACTTTCGCAGCACAAGCGGGTGCACTGCCGGTGCCGATCACTGTGCTACACCTTCCATCATGATAAGTCCGGCAATCGAATGCTAATTTTTACGCTAATTCCTTTGTCAAGGCACCTTAATCCCTCTCACACAGCTTAAAGGTGCACTGCCGCGTGCTACACCTTTCATCATGCTAAGTCCGCCAATCAAATGCTAATTTTTTATGCCGATTCCTTTGTCAAGGCACCTTAATCCCTCTCACACAGCTTAAAGGTCGTAGTCTGAGCTTGGCTCTGTTTCACTCCAGCGCAGTCTTCGAGACAGCCTGGTCCCTTCACCTGATGAAGGCCGCTTGTGTTGTGGCCGAAACGTCGTGATTTTTGTTGTTTTATTTTTTTTACCTACGTGACTTTACCGAATAGAACCAAAGAGTATGGATCCTTGCAGTCACGAAAGCTTCAAATCCAGAATTGAGCCACATCCTGACTCGCCGGGAGAAGGCGGTAGACACACACACACAGCACATGCCGACTAACCTCCACCTGTTCCGATCTGTACGGGATAGAAAAGTTGTACCCTTCACGTGCGCGTTGGGTGTTCTCCCGGTGCTCTGGTTTCCCTCCCACACAAACTCACTAATTGGTTGAAAACATCTCAACGTAACTAGGGGACCGTGGAGCTTGCGAAATTGTTGGTAGCACCGGCTTGCCTACTTGACTGCCGCCACTGCCCTTCTATCTTGTCTGCGATTCCTCCCCGCGCCGCCGAGACTCAGCGACCACTGTGTGGGCGCGTTACAGGCTGAAATGTCACGTCACGATTCCATGACAACCTTGAGAATGCCACAATCATCCGTGTGACTCTTGCGCCCTGGTGTCTTGAGTTCTTCACCTTGGGGCTCAACAAAACCAACTTCGCGCTTAAAATTATCTGCACGACTGTGGGCCACTGTGGGAAAAGAGTGTGCTGGAAACCTGAGAAACCCCCCCCGGATAGATGGTGGGAGGGTTCCCAGGCCAGGTGGTGGAGAAAGAAAGAACCACCCCGTGGTGGCGATGATGGTGGTGGTTTTGACGATGTCAACGGTGGCGGTCGTTTTGATGATGCCAATGGTGGTTTTGATGATGATGGTGGTGGTCTTGATGATGGTGATGGCACCGTTGCTTCCGCTTGGGGTGGTGAAGGGTGGCATGGAGCGCTGACCTGAGGCCTCCTCGCTTGCATGGTAGTCCTCGTCCTGATCCAGGTTGATGTCGGGCGTCTCCACACGGATGATCGACTTGTTGAGCAACCGGAAGGCCTCCTTCACGTGCTTGGGCTGCACCTAGAGCCCCCAGAGACGCAGATTCAGTTTCGCAATTTCCAACGCTCGTGTGTAACAAGACACTGGAAAGGCGTGGGCCGGTCACTGGTTTAACTTACGACTTTCACTGTGAGGCATGACACGTCGACCCATTGTGGCTGTGATCGGGAGATAAATTATTTATACACTTTTCTCATGAAGGGAGAAATGGTAATGAAATGGCTCCATGGTGTTAAGATGCACGCGTAAAATACTAACTTTGTCATCCACAATGGAATTGGTCACGCTCCAGTCACTCGTGTGCGCGCGTGTCAACCCACTGACCAATCCCTAACGAGGCCAGAGTCTCTCCAGTTATAGCAACATTGGAAGTGACACCCCCAAAGTGCGTTACGAGGATCATTTGGAAACACTGCATAATATTTCAGAATCAGAATATTTATCCTGGAGGAATCTGATGAGCTATAAAGCTATTTTTCACAGTAGGGGCGGGTAAGAACGTTACAACAGAACATTACAACAGTACAATAAACAAATCACCCAAACACAAACCAATACAACACGAAACCATCCCAACCCTCCCAGGCAATGCCCACTGAGGTATTAAAAAGCAACCTGGCCACAAACGACAGCTCAACAAAAGTGGCGTATAATTTGGACATTTACACGGAAGCAAAAATTACCCAACACTCGGAAGCTGCCAAAGTTGTGGGACTAACCCACTTGCAACAACATCACCTCCACCACCACCACCAGCACACCACCACCACCACCACCAGCACACCACCACCTCCACCACCACCGCCGCCGCAAGCCGCACCTCGTCACAGCAGTGCATGCGCGCCATGGCCTCGGAGAGGCGGATCATGCTTTCCAGCTGGCGCACGGTGATGCGCCACGCCGACTTGGTGATGCCCGAGCTGTCGCGCTGGCGCAGCCGCTTGTACTGCTCCACCATGAAGTCCTCGGCCGCCTTGGTGATCTGCGCGGGGCGGCGGGGCGACGGGGGCCGAGGCACGCTTCAGATGCCGCAAACCGCCGAGGTGTGGCAGGGGGATTGGGGGCGGCGGGGAGGGGAGCGGTGGGTGGAGGGAAGGGTGGTGTGGGTAGGAGGGGGGGGGGGGGGGCGCACCTTGGGCTTGAACTGCCGGGCAAACAGCTGGTAGCGGCGCATGTCCTCGAGCGAGTAGACGCGCTGCACCGCCGCGTCCTTGTGCGAGTGCAGGTCGACGATGCGGCGCGCGATGGCGTAGTCCGTCACCTACGCGCGCACGCGCAATCATGCTCATGGTGGCCGTGTCAAGGGCAGTGGACGACAGTCCATAAGGGATCCGTGCTCTTTGGTTTCTTTCGGTAAAGTCGCGGAAGGTGTACAATAAATTAAATTTAATCACGACGTTCCGATCTCAAAACAAGCCGACCGTCATCAGGTGGAACAGATACAGCGGGAGAACATAGCTGACATAGCTGACATAGGAGCTGACATTGCTGACATAGGAGCTGACATCGCGCCTATGTCAGCAGATATGTGTTGCGATCGAAACGTCGTGATTTAATTTATTTTATTTTATACCCACGTGACTCTACCGAAGGAACCAAAGAGCGTGGATCCCTGCAGTCACGAAAACTTCAAATCTCGATTAGTCCAGAGGGACTTCCTGCTCAAACTGCCATTGAGGCGGTGCTCATCTTGCGTTAAGCTGGGCCGGCGATGGACAAAGTGGTACTTCGCTTTATTGACCCCCCGGGATTGACGACGAGCTGAAGAGTCAACCCCAAGGCTAGGATGTGAAGTCGCAACCTTACGATTGCGAACCACTCGCTCTAGTGCCGTGCCAGCTGACCGGTCATAATGGCCTCGCCGTAGACAATGAACCAGTATCGTTCATTCCTCCCCCCCCGAGTCCGAGACCAGGGTCTGGGTGTCCAAGAATGTACGGGCACAATGGCCCTCACACTCGAACCCCCGTTGTCACAGGGAATCTTCGCACAGGGGAATGCGAGGGCCGGTTTCCCCGCGCGGAGAGGCAGCAGGAGCATTCCACGTTTCGAGTTGTCGGCAGCGAGGTCGCGAGCGTACGTTAGAAGAGAGCCGCCCCGATCACGGGACAACCGGGGTAATCGTCGCCGGTATTAGCGTGGCGGGGAAATCGAACTGGCGTCATCGGTTTAACAACACGCCGAGCACCAGACAAAGACAAAGAACCCCCCGCGCAGCTTACACGAGCGGTTGGGGCCAAGCATGCGTGTGGGGTGGGTGCTGGGGACGCCTCCCACCTCGTTGCACTCGTCCACGAGGATGAAGAAGAGGTCGAAGCGCGACATGATGGGCGCCGACAGGTTGACGTTGTGCTTCAGGGACTTGGCGCGGTCGTAGCGACCACCCACGGGGTTGGCGGCCGCGAGAATCGACGTGCGAGCGTTCAGCGTCGCCTGCGGGGGTCGGGGTTACAGCGAGCGGATGTCGGTTGCGCGATCGAACCACCAACGGGGCGGCCGCACTCAAAACCTTGGCGGGGAGCGAGACCGGCTGTGAGGAGGGGGCAAATATGAGGTTTCACACCTGCGAAAGCGGTTGTGAAACTGCCCACGAGTGCCCATCCCCACCCCTTCCCCCCGGGCTCTTCCGCCCGCCGCTAGACCCCGTAGCGTCGTGCTCGTTTTATCGGCCGCGAAAGGATGAGACGACGGTGTGCAGCTAACGGACCGGGAAACACGCACCTTCACGCCGGCCTTGGTGATGGATATCGTCTGCTGCTCCATGGCCTCGTGGATGGCGACCTGGTCCCGCGGCTCCATCTTGTCGAACTCGTCGATGCAGCAAACGCCCTGCACGCACACACACGCACACGACCCAAAATGGCAAAGGGCCTCCCCCCCCGCCCCTCCCTCCGTGCGGCGCACGCACAGGCCGACGGGGCAGGCGCCGTCGGGGCAGGCGCCGTCGGCCGGAGCCTACGCAGGCCGCCGCGGGGACGGCCGGGCAGTGCCGCCGGCACCGTCAACCGGCCGGCCGCCTTAAGTGTTCCGCGCCGGGCAAGTGACTCGAGGATGCGGGCGAGAGGCGAGCGCCGGTGCGGGCGAGGAGCTCACGTTGTCGGCGAGCATGAGCGCGCCGGCCTCGATGACGAACTCGTGCGACTCCTCGTCGCGCACCACGGCCGCCGTGAGCCCCGCCGCGCTGCTCGCCTTGCCACTCGTGTAGACGGCGCGCGGGGAGAACTCCTCCACGTGCCTGCGGCGCGTCACACACGCACGGCGGCGTCACACACACACAGCGGCGTCACACACGCGCAGTGGCGTCACACACGCTCAGCGGCGTCACACACAGCGGCGTCACACACACACAGCGGCGTCACACACACACAGCGGCGTCACACACACACAGCGGCGTCACACACACACAGCGGCGTCACACACGCTCAGCGGCGCGTCACACACGCACAGCGACGTCACACACGCGCAGCGACGTCACACACGCTCAGCGGCGCGTCACACACGCGCGGCGACGTCACACACACACAGCGCGTCACACACGTACGTGGCGCGGTGCACGACACCCAGCATGCAACACACGGCGTGCCACGTGCCCGCGCACTCACTTGAGGAACTGGCTCTTGGCCGTGCTGGGGTCCCCCACCACACACACGTTGATGTCTCCACGTAGCGACGTCCCCTCCAGCGTCTTCTTGGGAACCCCGCCAAACAGCATGAGCAGCACGCCGCGCTTCACCTCGTCGTTGCCTGCGGGCAACACGTCGCCGCCCTCGTCGACGTCACCGATCGTATCCCGCGCGTGCGTGCCCCCGCTGCTCACCCGCACACGTGACGTCACCCCCCCCCTGTCCCCCCCCCCCCCGTCCCCCCCCCGTGCTGTCGGACACTCCCGAGATCCACATCTACGCTCACCGTCGCGTCCACCGCCCTTCACCGTCGAGACGTCCGTCAAGTAATCCATTGCAGACATCACAGCTGCTCGAAATGAAGTCGCGGACCAACCTCCCCCCCGCCCGCCCCTTCCCATATCGATGTCTCCACATTCAACACAAGTGCATTTCACAGTCCACATCCTGTCGGGCCACTCGGCCTCCCAGCGGTCGCTCGGATCGCCGCGGGGTTAGCGGCACGCACCGTGTATGGTGGGGAAGAGGCTGGAGCACAGGTTGTGGTAGAGGCTCTTGTCCTGGCTCATCTCGAACACCTTATCCCACTCGGCCACCGTCATCTGGTTCTTGATGCTCTCGGCCGACTGGTCCTCCTCTCTGATCTCCTTGCCTCCAAACTGCGCCCAATGACGGAGACGCCCCAAGCGTGGCGCCATCAACACGACGGCAGGCACCACGGCGCGACCGACGCGACGGCAAACACGCGGCGCCAATCAGTCTACCCGGGGGTTGGTGGCCTCGGCGTGGCACGCGAGGAAGGCCAGGCGGTAGGAGAGGTCGCGCACGCCCAGCGCCTTGAGGCCACGCACGCCGTCCGCCTCGAAGCCGTCGCGCCCGGTCACCCGCGAGCTCGTCTCGGCACGAACGCCTGCAGCCGGGAGAGCCGCACGTCACACAGCCGGGAGAGCCGCACGTCGCACAGCCGGGAGAGCCGCACGTCACACAGCCGGGAGAGCCGCACGTCACACAGCCGGGAGAGCCGCACGTCGCAGGCGGTGAGCGGGGCGCAAGGGACGGCGAGCCTGCGCGGCGCAGACGACGCTTGACCAAGAACATGCTGTCAAACGTTTTATTTAAAGCTTTCGTGACTGCAGTAATTCATATTCTTAGTTTTTTTCGGTAAAGTCACGTTGAAGGGAAACAACAAAATAAAAAAGTATATATTTAATTATTATTTTATTATTATAAAATATATATTTTATTATTTTGTTGTTTCCCTTCAACGTGACTTTACCGAAAAAAAACTAAGAACATGCTGTCAACCGTTTTATTTCGACGAGGGATTTTCGGTCCGTGTGCGAGGTGGGCTGGGGGGCGGGCGGGCGGGGCGGGCGGGCGACCTGGCGTGGAGAGCTGCGCGACGTCGGGCACCACGATGAGCGTGCCGATGAAGTCGCAGCGGTCGCCGGCCTGCGCCGTCTCCACGGCCTCGGCGCGCATCACCACCTCGAGGCTGCGCGGGATGCTGCCCCGCGGCAACTCCGCCTGCGTCTCCTGCACACGCACCTGCACCGGCGCGCGCCACACCCGCACGTACCACCGTCAACCGCCACACGCGGCGAGAGACAAAGATCCCCTGTGTAACCTTACCAGGCTGTTGGGGAAAGCGCTGTTTGGGAGTAGCAGCTATGAAGGCCGACACGGTACATGAGGAGGTAGGGTAGCCAGCACCACGCCCCGGCTGCCTTTTGCCTGCCTAGTGGCGATGTTTTCACACACCTCGCCAGGTACTCATTTGAGGCTAAGTCGACCTAGGCGAGGCCCAGGACTGGTTCAGATAATCGTCACTGGTGTTGGCCACGAGAGGGAACCCAACTCGGGTCGCCGGGTTCGTAGCGCAGCGCGCCAAACGCTACACTACCGCTCCCCGCTAAACACACAAACGTCCACCGTGTAGTCTGGAACAGACTGTTTAGGCGAGTATTGTTAGCGAGTGCCTATTAAGACCGGCACTGTACAGGGAGGCACATTAGTTCCACTTCCCAAGATCTGCACCATCTTATTGTTTGCGTAAGAGTTAACGTCTCCTCGCACACAGACGCATTCAACTAACCCACACCACCACCACCACCCCACCTCCCGCGCGGAGGTCGTGGCATTGGTGGTGGTGGTGGGGGGAGAGGAGAGGCACCCCCACACCTTCTGGAAGTCGACGAAGCGCGACTTGTTGGTGTCCAGCAGGAAGCGGCGTCGGTTGGAGCACACCGGGTTACGGCAGATGGTCGGCTGCGTGTACTTGAACTGCTGCTCCACGTCGCGTACCACCGACTGGCAGTCGAGGCACTGGAAGGTGCCGCTCACCTGGACAAGGCCCAGGCACCCACAGCACCATCGGCAAAACACGCAGGAGCCACGATCCGCAACTCGGGAGCACCCCCGTAGCTCGATCGAGCATCGGGTGGAGCGATTAACCGAAGGGCGCCTCGGTCTGGCTCTATGCGGTGAGAATTAACGATGCATTCTAGAATCTTAAGGCCGAAATGAGTGCTTCCAAGGCTCTGGATCGATAGTGAATGCACGATATTACAAGAGGACTGTTGGCTTCACAGCCAACTTTTCGCTGTTTGCTCTGGCAGTCAAATGTCGGTGGGAGATGGTCCTGTCACTCAAAGAGGTCAAAACACAAACCGGGCACCGCCGAGATCCTGGGTTCGAATCCAGGCAGCTCCCTGTGATTAAACCGATTCAAGTTTCCACTGGTCACCAACAACAGCACAAAGCATCAAATTAAATCTGGTTCTGTACTAAATTGGGAAATTATTCCAGCTCTGAGAATTACAAAATTACAGGCCGACTGTCACGTGACAAACATTACTGTTGGCGACAGGGTGGGTGAGAAATCTGCTGCCTCCTACTATTGTGGACCCAAGGGATCTCGGAAGTCGCTCGGCGATAATCGGTTTCTGTGGGCAGTTCGACAACGAACGGCCACCTCGTCCAGTCACGCTAACAGCGCAGCTGCGACGGAACTGGGACGGGTTTGATAACTTTTTGGGAAACTGCGCGTTCACCAAAAAGACGATTTTAAAGGCTCTGCAAAATCGTTACGGGCCAGGCAGGGCTCTCACCAGCTCGGGGTGCACAGGGTGCGTGCGCACAACCTGCGCGCTGATGCGCAGCAGGGTGCCAATCTTGGTGGTGGTCAGCTCTCGGATCCTGGAGAGAAGGCAAAAAAGGGAGCTCTTAGAACCGAGTCAAACGGCTGCGTCTCCGCTCTCTCTCTCTCTCTTCGCAGGACTGGGACGCCGACGGCAACTCCAGCGCCGTTCTACAGCGGGAGCCGGTCTGCAGGAAACCCACCCGCGCTGAGCGTGTGTGACGTCGCCACAATGTGGTCACCACGACTCCCTTTATTGGCCGGATTTCCGGACGAAAGTAAACCCCGACATGGATTTTCGCTCGTCTTAAAGCCTTCGTGACTGCAGGAATTCATATTCTTTAGGTCTTTCGGTAAAGTCATGTAGATAGGTTCAGAGTTAATTTAACAAAAAACCACGACGTTTCGATCGCAACACAAGCGACCCTCATCAGGTGGAAGAAAGTGGGGTGGAAGCCACTGAAGGCAAGCTGTTTTTAAAGGTGTCAGAACGAAGTAGGCGTGGCACAAGAGCCCTGGGGCAGCATATGCGGAGATGGTAATGCGAGGGATTATAAAACTTGTAAGTGGACCGCCCAACGAAGTAGGCGGGGCACAAGTACCATTGTGAGGTACAAGCGGAGATGGTTATGTTAATGTGAAATCCCAGAATCAAGAGAACGGCGGACGCATGAGCCCTGGAGATATTAACAACTTGTGGGACGCCCAATGCAGAGGGCAGCACCGCAAGAACTGGAATTGCCTGTCCCATCTTTTTTTTCACTTTTATTAATTTTGAACCTATCTACGCGACTTTACCGAAAGGCCCAAAGGAATGTGAATAGGATTTTCACTCATTACAAACGCTCCCGTCCGTGTGCGCGTTGCGTTTCTGCGACTCGTAACCCACGCACGAGAACAGGTCGTCGGTCTCAACAACGCACGAGTGACCCGGGCAATCACAACGACAAATAAATAAAAACGGAGCAAAAACTTTCATCGGCGCAACGTTAAGTGTCTCGGTTGTATTGCCGCTCTGCTCAGCGCTCCAATAGATAAAGAATTACACCAAGCCGGCAGGCGGGTGCTCCTGCGCCAAGGCTGGAGATTAATCTCCTGTTTCCACTTTGACTGCAAGGCTCTGTCGTCCTACTCTTGTCCGCGTAAGCTCTGCACATCACTGGCCCATGGACAGCTTCAGCATCAAATACCACCCACAGTTATGCCGACAATATCCGGCTCAAAATTTTTGATTTAAAGCTTCCCGTGACTGCAGGGATTCATATTCTTGGTTCTTTCGGTAAAGTCACGTGAGAATTTTATTGTTTTATATTTTTATTATTTTATTGTTTCCCTTCTACGTGGCTTTACCGAAAGAACCAAGAATATAATATCCGGCTCTTTGGAGTGGCGATTCCTGTTCTGAATGCTCAAAAACTGGAAGCGTGAGCCTCTAACCTGGAGCGCTCTGGACCAGTGATCTTCTTCTAAAGAGGTCAAACTTCAAGTGCTCCTACTGGGCAGCAGGCAACCATTCAATTCCACCACACTTCCTCAAGCATTGTCCATCACTGGCTCCACCATCGGCCATTCTCCCGCGCTCAAAATCCTCAGGGAGAGAACTCATCCAATATCTCTCAGTAGACATTCGAGTGCATGACGTTACCACCTCAAGAGCTCTCCTGGAAATCCGTCCGACACTCCTGACCACTGTAGCCAACACCATCATGGGGAAAGTTTAGTTTTATTTGCGTATTCGGGTGATTTTTTTTACCTCTCTTGTACTTTGCACTATTATCGTGTTTTGTATTGTTTGTTGTTTTAACGTTCTTACCCGCCCCTAGTGGATATCTGTGAAAAATAACTTTATAGGTCATCGGATTCCACCAGTATAAATATTCTGATTCCGAGTTCTCGACTCCACTACTGCAATGCTGCACTCGCATGAAATCAATAAAGTACATCGACAAACTTCAGGTAACTTGAGCCTGTTTGCAAAAATTGTGCACGTTACAAGTCGAATTTCTTCATAATAAAGCAGGAAGCCGATCGCTCACCGAACTTCACGATCATAGACCCAGTCGGAATATTCACCTGCAGCTTTTAGTGGGAAGTGACGTGTTAAAATAATCATTGGGAAAACGAACACGCAGCACCGCTGACAAGCACTCGAGCCATGTTAAGGGAGACGAGGGCAGGGTTTGGCTAAAGCAGCGTTGCCCGTTTGAGACACTGGGAGGTACGCAGAGGGAGAAGCACGCAGCACCCACTTGTGTCTGGCGAGCACCTCCGTGAAGGCCACGTAAAACTCCTTCGCCTGCGGGATGTCCTTCCAGTGGTCGCGGGCAAAGTTACGCACGGCACGGCACAGGTAGGGGTAGACCCTGCGGCACACGGACGCACGGGAGGTTACGCCGTCTGATAATCGGCCGGCTCAATCTGGTAACTGGCTTGTTCTCTCTGGTGGACTGGCCAGTGGCACCTGTAGTAGTCCTCCTGTACAGTGGTGGCCAACTGCTGATTGTGCTGCTCCAGGTCTGTGAAATCCACCACCAGTGTGTTCCGCTCGGGGCGGCCAAGCTCCTCGGCGTCTCGCACGTACTTCCTCTCGCCTTCTGCCGTCTGGAACCTGCTCCGCAGAGGAGACGGACAAAAGGGTCGCGCCAAGCGAGGGGCACGGGTGAGCCTGAGGAGGGTACGGGTGAGCGAGGGCGAGTGGCAAGCATGGGGTGGTGCTCATCTCTGGTTTTTATTTTACAGGCAGACCAGCGATTAGCGCGACCCTTGTAGAATGCATGCTGATTAGTTTGAGTGCTCTTTGTCCTGGATAAATGTTTACCAAAAATTTTAATCAGCGCTTACGAGCGAAAACACGCACGCAGCGCCCGGCAGAGGAAACGTACCCACGCCTATCATTTGTTCAGTCAATGAGAGCGACTTATGCTCCGAGCCAACCAGACCAAACTCCCCCACGATACGATTTTTCACGGCTGGAGGTCAAACTGACTTCATAATAAAAAAAAAACAGATATCTCCCCAATGTTATTACAGTTCATTTAGCCCGGCGATAAATGACTTAGGCTTGCCACAAATGAACCGCGATACCTTGCTGATCTCAAGGAGCATAAACCGCCGGTCTTCCTCACAGCTGCTTTTGGCGAAGCCATCGGATAAAAACGGTGCCTGCATCGCGCGCTTTCAGATGCGCTTCTGCGGCCATCTGGAACGCTCTTCCTTCCGATATTATGAAGCCACTGGAGCTATGCACTTTTGAATCAACTATATTGAAAGCTAATTTCTTTCGAATAGCTTTTTTCTGTTTAGTTTGTTGGCCTTCCGCCGCACCTCCGATAAGAATGGTCGGCTACGTACGGCGCGAAAGAAGTTCAACATACACTATTAGGAGTTGCATTGTACATTAATACAGTAGTTACTTTATGTTAACGGATGCACACGTGTCTTGCCAGGTCTCCCTCGACACAAACACCCCCCCCCGCTCCCTATGCAGCCCTTGCCTGGTCATTAAGGTTTGCTCCAGCACAACTGCTGCAGCTGCTGCTGCTTCAACAACTAAAAATCATACAGCCAAATAAAAAAAGTAATGGGACAGCTTTTTTTTTACCTCTGGACAGTAGCGATTCCCCGTAGCAGTGAGTTATGCATCCACATATCAAGCAAGCAGCAGCAGCATCGGCATGCAAGATCACAAGCATAAGTAGCATCATTGACACCAATTGTCAAAATGAACACATGAAACAGATTTTTCGATTTAAAGCTTTCGTGACTGCAAGGATTCATCTTCTTTGGTTCTTTCGGTAAAGTCACGTAGAATGAGAATAAAATAATAAATTGATAAAATACATTTATTATTTTATTCTCATTCTACGTGACTTCACCAAAGAAAAAAATTGATAAAATAAATGCATTATTTTATTCTCATTCTACGTGACTTTACCGAAAGAACCAAAAAAGATTAAACAGATTTTGTTGAGTAACATGATTTTTGTCTATTTGCTTGTGTTTCTCCCTTGTGTTGGGGACTTTGCAGGTTGAACGTTGAGATTTATAAGGGGCACGGGGTGACCAATACGGTATGAATTGTAATTCCGGTGTCACGATTTAAACATCAGCGGCGAATAAAATGTTCTTACACTCGCTCGGCGCGTGCGGCCAGACTCCTCCATAAGCTGTCAACCCTTTCCTCAGTGCCCCTACCTTATTACAGACCAATTCAGATCTTATTTGGTCAGCCCCCGTGGCATTATACATCTCAACGTTTATGATACAAAGTCCCATTTACAAGGGAGACACAAAGAAATCGACAATCAGCACTACTACACTCACCACTACGACACTCACCCACACACTCTCATACCTGTCAACCCCTTATCAGCGCCCCTACCTTATTGCAGACCAATTCAAGACCTTATCGGTCACCCCGTGCCCCTTATGAACCTCAACGTTCATCATACAAACTCGCATCCACAAGAGAGAAACACAAAGCCACATTTTGTGTGTCCGTGCTGAAACGGCTAGACGCCGTATGGACCTGAAGACTAAATTTCCCTGGCACAAGAATACGGAGTAAACCCGAATGGGTTAACACAGCACGAGGTCATTCATCCAGCAGTGGAGTGACACGAGAGCTTTGTAGGGGCCCCCCACTTACTCCTCAAGGAAGTCTTGGAAGAGCTTCTGACACTTCTCGGCCAACTCATCTTTCACCGTCTGTCCGGCGTGGCCCTGAACAGGCTCCTGCACATCCATGGCTCGCGAGGGCCGATGAGGCGAGGAGGTAGATGAGGCGAGGCGGTGAAGGAGGTGGAGGAGACGAGGCGGAGGAGGTGTGGGGAGACGAGGTGCAGGAGTTGCAAGAGACGAGGAGGCGGAGGAGACGAGGAAGATGGAATCGCGCGATCACACCGCCCAGCACTGCGATTTCGCGCCAAAACGGGTCACGTGGTCAAGTTCCCGCCAAAAGCAACCAATGCGCCGCGCGCATTTCGTAGCACGTGACGTTAACGTGGTGGTGGGGGGCGGCGTCACTCTCTCGTTCTTAGGGTTCGATATAAATAAATTAAATACAACGTGACGGGGGGGGGTTCTCTTCGTCAAGGAATCGATTCTCGAGATTGCACTTAACGCAGGAGTCGATTATCGGGCATCGCCGGGGTGTCTCTTCGTCAAGGAATCGATTCTCGTGATTGAACGTAATTGCAGGAGTCGATTCTGGGGCATCGATTCGCGGAGAATATAGTACATAAGTATATAGCGTCGTGTATCGATAGCAATGTGTATAGTGTAGTGTGTAGTGTATAGTGGTGTAGTGTATAGTGGTGTAGTGTATAGTGGTGTAGTGTATAGTGGTGTAGTGTATAGTAGTGTATAGTGTAGTGTATAGTAGTGTATAGTGGTATAGTGTATAGTGGTGTAGTGTATAGTGGTGTAGTGTATAGTGGTGTAGTGTATAGTGGTGTAGTGTATAGTGTAGTGTATAGTGGTGTAGTGTATAGTGGTGTAGTGTATAGTGGTGTAGTGTATAGTAGTGTAGTGTATAGTGTAGTGTATAGTAGTGTATAGTAATGTTGTGTATAGTGTAGTGTATAGTAGTGTATAGTGCATAGTGTAGTGTATAGTGGTGTAGTGTATAGTAATGTAGTGTATAGTGTAGTGTATAGTAGTGTATAGTGTATAGTAATGTAGTGTATAGTGTAGTGTATAGTAATTTAGTGAATAGTAATGTAGTGTGTAGTGTATAGTAGTGTATAGTGTAGTGTATAGTGTAGTGTATAGTGGTGTAGTGTATAGTAGTGTAGTGTATAGTGATGTAGTGTATAGTGGTGTAGTGTAAAGTAGTGTATAGTGTAGTGTATAGTAGTGTAGTGTATAGTGGTGTAGTGTATAGTGTTGTAGTGTATCGTAGTGTAGTGTATAGTGTAGTGTATAGTGTAGTGTATAGTAGTGTAGTGTACAGTAGTGTAGTGTATAGTAGTGTAGTGTATAGTAGTGTAGTGTATAGTGGTATAGTGTATAGTGGTGTAGTGTATGGTGGTGTAGTCTATAGTAGTGTAGTGTATAGTGGTGTAGTGTATAGTAGTGTATAGTGGTGTAGTGTATAGTAGTGTAGTGTATAGTGGTGTAGTGTATAGTGGTGTAGTGTATAGTGGTCTATAATGTAGCGTATAGTGTAATGTATAGTAATGTATAGTGGTGTGGTGTATAGTAGTGTTCAGCATAGTGTAGTGTATAGTGGTTTAGTGTATAGTAGTGTTCAGCATAGTGTATAGTGGTTTAGTGTATAGTAGTGTATAGTGTAGTGTATAGGGGCCGTCCATAAATGACGTCACGCACCTGGGGGGGGGTCAGACATTTGTGACGGGGGGGGGGGGTGAGAAATGTGACGTCACGTAAAAATGCGCAACTTTAAATAAATATAGACAACACGTTCTACATAATTAAATATACGTTTTAATAAATGTTTTCTCCTACAACATCAGAGTGCAGCGCCACATTAAATACGCACTACAATGACAATAGTTTAAAGCGATTTGAAGCATGTTTCATTTTTGGGGGCGGGGGGGGGGGGCAGAGCTTTGTGACGTCATATTTGAGGGGGGGTCTGACTTTTAATGACGCCGTGTGACGAGGGGGGGGGGGGTCAAAAAATCGTCCAAAATCGCGTTACGTCATTTATGGACGGCCCCATAGTAGTGTAGTGTATAGTAGTGTTTAGCGTACTGTATAGTACTGTAGTGTATAGTAGTGTATATTGTTGTGCATAGTAGTGTATAGTGTAGTGTATAGTAGTGTAAAGTGTAGTGTATAATAGTGTCGTGTATAGTAGTGTATAGTGGAGTGTATAGTGAAGTGTATAGTAGTGTAGTTTATAGTAGTGTATAGTGTAGTGTATAGTAGTGTATAGTGGAGTGTATAGTGAAGTGTATAGTAGTGTAGTTTATAGTAGTGTATAGTGTAGTGTATAGTAGTGTATAGTGCAGTGTATAGTAGTGTATAGTGGAGTGTATAGTGAAGTGTATAGTAGTGTAGTTTATAGTAGTGTATAGTGTTGTGCATAGTAGTGTATAGTGCAGTGTATAGTAGTGTATAGTGTAGTGTATAGTAGTGTCGTGTATAGTAGTGTATAGTGGAGTGTATAGTGAAGTGTATAGTAGTGTAGTTTATAGTAGTGTATAGTAGTGTATATTGCAGTGTATAGTAGTGTATAGTGTAGTGTATAGTAGTGTCGTGTATAGTAGTGTATAGTGGAATGTATAGTGCAGTGTATAGCAGTGTAGTGTATAGTAGTGTATAGTAATGTAGTGTATAGTGTAGTGTATCGTAATGTAGTGTATAGTAGTGTATAGTGTAGTGTATAGTAATGTAGTGTATAGTGTAGTGTATAGTAATGCAGTGTATAGTGTAGTGTATAGTAATGTAATGTATAGTAGTGTATAGTGTAGTGTATAGTGTAGTGTATAGTAATGTAGTGTATAGTAGTGTATAGTGTATAGTAATGTAGTGTATAGTAGTGTATAGTAATGTAGTGTATAGTGTAGTGTATAGTAATGTAGTGTATAGTAGTGTATAGTATAGTGTATAGTAATGTAGTATATAGTAGTGTAGTGTATAGTAGTGTGTACAGTAGTGTATAGTGTAGTGTATAGTAGTGTATAGTGTAGTGTATAGTGTAGTGTATAGTGTATACTAATGTAGTGTATAGTAATGTAGTGTATAGTGTAGTGTATAGTAGTGTAAAGTGTATAGTAATGTAGTGTATAGTGTATAGTGGTGTATAGTGTAGTGTATCGTAATGTAGTGTATAGTAATGTAGTGTATAGTAATGTAGTGTATAGTAGTGTATAGTGTATAGTAATGGTGTGTATAGTGTAATGTAGTGTATAGTAATGTAGTGTATAGTAGTGTATAGTGTAGTGTATAGTAGTGTATAGTGTATAGTAATGTAGTGTATAGTGTAGTGTATAGTGTATAGTAGTGTATAGTGTAGTGTATTGTAATGTAGTGTATAGTAATGTAGTGTATAGTGTAGTGTATAGTAATGCAGTGTATAGTAGTGTAGTGTATAGTGTAGTGTATAGTAATGTAGTGTATAGTGTAGTGTATAGTAGTGTATAGTAATGTTGTGTATAGTGTAGTGTATAGTAGTGTATAGTGCATAGTGTAGTGTATAGTAATGTAGTGTTTAGTGTAGTGTATAGTGTAGTGTATAGCACCCCTTTCGTTCTCAATTATAAAAAGTACAATGTTAATAAATACACGGGGTTTGATGAAACAAAGTATTTGTGTACTTACGTGCCCGTGTTTAATTTTGTGTTCTTGATTATTTACCTTCTCCAAAAACAAAACTGGCCACGTCTCGCACCCCGAGAAAGGGCATCTCGCACGCCCAGCGGGGATACGCGTTGCACCCCAGGTGAAGAACCAGTGGCCTAAAATAAAAGACGTGCGTGTGATTGAAGCGATTACGATTGAACAGCTTAGTTTCCAGAACATTCGATTTTATTCATCGTGGGCCATGGGATGATTTTTTTTAACAAACAAAAGGTTGTACTTGAAGGTGCAAATCGCCACGTTCGTTGCTAACCCCACACCGTCGTGACAGCCCCTGGGGGAGGGGGGCTTGGCCATACTTCACCGCTGGTCAGGGCGACTTGGCTTAAAGGAGGTGCCCAGGATCGGTCCAGACAGTGGGCTCCTCGCCACCGATGGTGGCCGGGAGTCGAACACCGAGCGTCGGAACACGCGGCCACGCGCACCTTTCGGATCTTGACTTAAAGCTTTCGTGACTGCAGGAATTCATATTCTCTGGGTCTTTCGGTAAAGCCACGTAGGTGGGTTCAAAGAAAAATACCAAAAAACTACACAAGCGATCGTCATCGGGAGGAAAGAGGAGTTTTTCCTCCGGGTCCTTGTTTAAGGGGCCGTCCATCAATGACATCACGCGATTTTGGACGGTTTTTGACCACGCTCCCTCTCGTCACACGGCATCACAAAAAGTCAGACCCCCCCTCCCCTCAAATATGACGTCACAAAGCTCTGCCCCCCCCCCCAAAAAACCCCCATATTGCCATTTTGAAAGTAAAATATGCTTCAAATCGCTTTAAACTATTGTCATTGTAGTGCGTATTTAATGTGGCGCTGCGCTCTGATGTTGTGGGAGTGTTGTTTTAACAACTCTATATTTATTTAAAGTTGCACATTTTGACGTAACGTGACATTTCTCAAACACCCCCCACCCCTTTGTCACACATCGTCACAAAAATCTGACCCCCCCCCCCGCCACCCCCCTAGGTGTGTGACGTCATTTATGGACGGCCCCTGATGATAAAAAAAATTGACCACGTGTTTTGCCTCTTTCCTCCTGATGACGATCGCTTGTGTTGCGATCGAAACGTCGTCGTCTTTTTTTGGTCATTTTCTTTGAAACCATCTACGCGACTTTACCGAAAGACCCCAAAGAATATGGCCTGTCGGAGTTCGCAAACATTTTCCAACCGTTGCGACCCGTGGACAATTTACGGCGTAGACTCGACTGCATTTGCACCGCATGTCAACGCCCCTAGTCCATTCCAGAACATCGCTGTGAATGTGCGTCTCAGCCCCCTCCACGTAAAGCATCTGACGCGTGTGTGTGACGATGCCGTGAGCGATGTCACTGCCAATTTCTGTTCCAGATGCCACGCTGGGCCATATTATCCCGATAGGCCCCAGGAGGCACTGTGTCCTACGGCCAACGAAAACTTTAAAGGGCCTATGATATATCAAATTGTTTGACGTTTTTGTTTTCACGCATGATTAAAACAATTGCAACCAAGATATCTTCTTGAATAATTATATTTATGTAGCGAGGATAGGCACAGTGTGTACACAAAGAGGGAGTCATGTCAATCGGTTTTTTTTTTTTTACAAGGCGAGAGAAAAATTTACACCTCAGATGAACTTCTTTGAGATTTGTTTCACTGCAATATCAGCAAATAACATCTTCAAATAGTGTTTTTCGCATAAGGGGCCGTCCATAAATGACGTCCCGCACGTAGAGGGGGGGGGGGGGGGTCAGACATTTATGACGATGTGTGACGAGGGGGGGTGGGTGATTGAGAAATGTGACGTCACATCAAAATGCGCAACTTTAAATAAATATAAAATTGTTATAACAACACTAATTGTTATAACAACACTCCTACAACATCAGAGTGCAGCGCCACATTAAATACGCACTACAATGACAATAGTTTAAAGCGATTTGAAGCATGTTTTATTTTAAAAATGGAAATATGGTTTTGGGAGGGGGGCGGTGGCAGAGCTTTGTGACGTCATATTTTAGGGGGGGGGTCTGACTTCTTTTGACGCCTTGTGACCGGGGGGGAGGGGGGTCAAAAATCGTCCAAAATCGCGTGACGTCATTTATGGACGGCCCCTAATCCCATTTCTCAACAGAGGGTAGTAGTGCAACAAGGGAAGAATGCGTCGTGCTACGCGTGACACAAGTGGCCGTAGCAGTAGGTGTGGCAGTAGGAGCAGCAGTGTCAGTTAGCAGAGAGTTATCACACAAGGCCTAGGAACCACAAGTGCCTAGGGCCTCCAAGAACATTAATCCGGCCCTGATGCCACGGACAGGGAATGTTGCACGCTGCGTCGGTTTTGACGATTAGTTCACCATAATTTCACCTTGTTGGTTCGTGCGGGTTGGTGAAAGGGCGGCCTTGCTATATATGTACGTGCTGCGTAAACGGGATGCTCCTGCACTTAGCGTCTGACAACGCAGCCTCCAGCACAAGATGTAACGCGGCGGTCCGCCTGTGACAACCATCATCCAAGATCAACCACCCCCTTGCTTTCAACTTCCTCGCTAATGTATTCGACCAGTCCAGAAAGGTCATACACGCATCCGCGCGCTAAGAGAGATACCGCAGACAGGTCAAATAATGGATGGATGGATGATGATCTCACAACCCCATCCCACCCCGACCTTCGCTGGCGCTTTGTTTAATCAAAATTAACAAACACAAAAAAGATTATATAATAATATACGCATCCACGCGCTAAGAGAGATATCGCAGACAGGTCAAATAATGGATGGATGATGATGATCCCACAACCCCATCCCACCCCGACCTTCGCTGGCGCTTTGTTTAATCAAAATTAACAAACACAAAAAAGATTCGATAATAATAATAATGGGTGCTGAGAGATGCCCCAGGCATTGCCTGCGGCGCTGTTTTGCAAAGTGGCATTGCTTGGGCAGGCACGGGGGGTTCGGGGCGGGGGGGGTTTGCGAGCTTGGACTCCCAGTAAGGAATCCCTTCTCCCCGATCCCTCCCCTACCTCCCTCCACGCACAATGAACACACTTCTTATTCTTGTTTCCCGTCACAACCAAAGTGGGCTTGGCGGAGGGAGAGTCTCGCGAGTCTGCGGACGGCCCAAACGACTCATCGCGCACTTCGATAGCTTCGCTGCCGCGAGAACTTGGCAGGAGTCTTGAGATCCAGTGGGGCTTTCCCTGGGTAAAGCAAGCACCGTGATGATAGCAGCAGCAGCAGCAACAACAACAACAACAACGGTGACATTGTACCAGAGCTATGCGCAATCGTCTTCATCTTCTTCTTCCTCTTCTTCCTCTTCTTCCTCTTCTTATCTTTCTTCTTCCTCTTCTTCTTCTTCCTCTTCTTCTTCTTCCTCTTCTTCTTCCTCGTCTTCTTCTTCCTCTTCTTCTTCCTCTTCTTCTTCCTCGTCTTCTTCTTCTTCCTCTTCTTCTTCCTCTTCGTCTTCTTCTTCCTCTTCTTCTTCCTCTTCGTCTTCTTCTTCCTCTTCTTCTTCCTCTTCGTCTTCTTCTTCTTCTTCGGGGAAATGAAAGCCACCCTCGGTGGCAGTGTCCCCGATCCTGCCCTGTAGTAGCTACTACAACTACATATGTAGTAGTAGCTACTACATATATGTACTACTACATATGTAGTAGCTACTACTACATATGTAGTAGCTACTACTACATCTGTAGTAGTAGCTACTACATATGTACAACTACATATGTAGTAGCTACTACTACATCTACATATGTAGTAGATACTACTACAGATGTAGTAGTAGCTACTACAACTACAGTAGTAGCTACTACAACTACATATGTAGTAGTAGCTACTACATATATGTACTACTACATATGTAGTAGCTACTACTACATATGTAGAAGCTACTACATATTTACAACTACATATGTAGTAGCTACTACTACATCTACATATGTAGTAGATACTAGTAGTAGCTACTAGTAGCTACTACACATGCAATAGTTACTACATCTGTAGTAGTAGCTACGGGCCCCTCACTTTCATGGGCCACGCGCTAAATACTTTCAAGCTATCAATTCTGGTTCGGTGATTCTGCACTAGCTCTATTGCTATAGTACTATACCGCCTTCAACTTTTATGAATGACCGGGTGTCTCAGCTGAGCGATTTGTCGTATTATCTGTCTGTATAGCAAATGAAAAAATACAATTACTATGCAAGTAACAAAGTTTATGTTTTAACACGTACTGTTTTTGTATTTAAGGTCCCTTTATAACATTAAATGTTTCATTCCCCGCACGAGCTAATCCGACACTGAGCCCCCCCCCACTTCCCTCCGCAGGCCACCCTAACGCCCCCCCAGCCCCCCACCCAGCCCCCCACCCAGCCCCCCACTATTCTCCCCGCATGGCGCAGCGCTGCGCGTGGTGGCGGTGATTGACGACGCCAGGCGGTGGCTGAGGTGGACCGCGAGACTCCGCGTGGTGCCTCCATCCACACCAAGTTCGCCCCCCTCGGGGGGGGGGGGGGGGGCTATAAACCCCAGCTCAGCGACACCGCCTCCACGAGATCCTCCTCGTCCAGTCCTCCTCACCCTCCCTCACAGCCACCTCCTCACCCTCCCAGCCTCCTCCTCACCCTCCCAGTCTCCTCCTCACCCTCCCTCCCAGTCACCTCCTCACCCTCCCTCACAGCCACCTCCTCACCCTCCCAGCCACCTCCTCACCCTCCCAGCCACCTCCTCACCCTCCCTCACAGCCACCTCCTCACCCTCCCTCACAGCCACCTCCTCACCCTCCCTCACAGCCTCCTCCTCACCCTCCCAGTCTCCTCCTCACCCTCCCTCCCAGTCACCTCCTCACCCTCCCTCACAGCCACCTCCTCACCCTCCCAGCCACCTCCTCACCCTCCCAGCCTCCTCCTCACCCTCCCTCACAGCCACCTCCTCACCCTCCCTCACAGCCACCTCCTCACCCTCCCTCACAGCCTCCTCCTCACCCTCCCAGTCTCCTCCTCACCCTCCCTCCCAGTCACCTCCTCACCCTCCCTCACAGCCACCTCCTCACCCTCCCAGCCACCTCCTCACCCTCCCAGCCTCCTCCTCACCCTCCCTCACAGCCACCTCCTCACCCTCCCTCACAGCCACCTCCTCACCCTCCCAGCCACCTCCTCACCCTCCCAGTCTCCTCCTCATCCTCCCAGCCACCTCCTCACCCTCACAGCCACCTCCTCATCCTCCCAGCCACCTCCTCACCCTCACAGCCACCTCCTCATCCTCCCTCCCAGCCACCTCCTCACCCTCCCTCACAGCCACCTTCTCACCCTCCCAGTCTCCTCCTCACCCTCCCAGCCACCTCCTCACCCTCCCGCCACCTCCTCACCCTCACAGCCACCTCCTCACCCTCACAGCCACCTCCTCACCCTCCCTCACAGCCACCTCCTCACCCTCCCTCACAGCCACCTCCTCACCCTCCCAGTCTCCTCCTCACCCTCCCAGCCACCTCCTCACCCTCCCCGCCACCTCCTCACCCTCACAGCCACCTCCTCACCCTCACAACCACCTCCTCACCCTCCCTCACAGCCACCTCCTCACCCTCCCTCACAGCCACCTCCTCACCCTCCCTCCCAGCCACCTCCTCACCCTCCCTCACAGCCACCTCCTCACCCTCCCTCACAGCCACCTCCTCACCCTCCCTCCCAGCCACATCCTCACCCTCCCTCCCAGCCACCTCCTCACCCTCCCTCACAGCCACCTCCTCACCCTCCCTCCCAGCCACCTCCTCACCCTCCCTCACAGCCACCTCCTCACCCTCCCTCCCAGCCACCTCCTCACCCTCCCTCCCAGCCACCTCTTCACCCTCTTTCCTAGCCACCTCCTCACCCTCCCTCCCAGCCACCTCCTCACCCTCCCTCCAAGCCACCTCCTCACCCTCCCTCCCAGCCACCTCCTTACCCTCCCTCCCAGCCACCTCCTCACCCTCCCAGGCACCTCCTCACCCTCCCTCCCAGCCACCTCCTCACCCTCCCTCACAGCCACCTCCTCACCCTCCCTCCCAGCCACCTCCTCACCCTCCCTCCCAGCCACCTCCTCACCCTCCCTCCCAGCCACCTCCTCACCCTCCCTCCCAGCCACCTCCTCACCCTCCCTCTCAGCCAGCCACCTCCTCACCCTCCCTCCCTCCCAGCCACCTCCTCACCCTCTCTCCACCGGCCCGTGTCCCATCCCCAGGATCGCTGTTTCCACGAGGTTCGGGGCTGCGTGGAGGAGGGGGGAGGGAGGAGAGAAGGGGGGGGGGGGGGGCGCGCGCGCGGGAGTCCGTGGCGACTTCGCCTGGCATCTCTCCGTCATCCAGTGGAGGAGGAGGAGGAGGAGGTCGTTGTGTCAGCAGGTCTCGCGTGCGAGGAGCAACGGCCGACGATGTCGGCGACGACGCTGGCGACGATGTCGAGGTGCCTGCTGAGCTCCGTCGTGCTGCTCACGGCCATGGGGCGCGCTCCGTGCTCACGCGCCTCCTCTTTCTCCTCCTCCTCCTCGTCGTCCTCCTCCTCCTCCTCCTCGTCATCGTCGTCGTCCTCCTCCTCGTCGTCGTCGCTGCTCGTCGACACAACGCAGACGCAGTCCGCCTTCGGCTGCCCTCCGTGCTCGACCGAGACGCTGTCGCGGTGCCCACGGCGCCCCCGTGGTGCCCCGAGCTGGCCCGCGAGCCGGGCTGCGGCTGCTGCGCCGTGTGCGCCGCCCGCCAGGGCGAGGCGTGCGGGGTGTACACACCGCGCTGCGGCATGGGTCTCCGCTGCTTACCCCGCGGCCCGGCGAGGAGAGGCCCCTGCACTCGCTGGTGCGAGGCCGCGGCATCTGCACCAGCAGCGCCAAGCGCGGTGAGCGTCGCTCCGCGCGCCGCGGGTAACCGATCGGGCTCGGTTGGGGTTGGGGGAGTGGGTGGGACGCTGAGCACTCCCCCGAGTGCGCAGATCCACCTGGGCCCTTATCTGCGTACAGACCCATTAGGTGCCATGGGTGGACTGCTGTGCCAGGCTAGGTGCTGGAGGAGGAGGTCACGGGACAGACCCAGCAGGTATCATTTTGTTGACTGCTGTGCCAGGTGAGGTGCAGGAGGTCACGTCACAGACCCAGCAGGTGCTATGGGATGACTGCTGTGCCGGGCTAGGTGCAATAAGAGGTCACGGAACAGATCCAGGTAGTGCCATGGGTTGACTGCTGTGCCAGGCTATGTGCAGGATGAGGTTACGGGACAGACCCAGCAGCAGCCATGGGATGACTTCTGTGCCAGGCTATGTGCAGGAGGAGGTCACGGGACTAGACCTAGCAGGTGCCATGGGTTGAATTCTGTGCCAGGCTACGTGCAGGAGGAGATCAGGGGACAGACCCAGCAGGTGCCATGGGTTGACTGCTGTGCCAGGCTAGGTGCAATAAGAGGTCACTGAACAGACCCAGGTCGTGCCACCTGGCCCCTATCTGCGCACTCCCCCCGAGAGCGCAGATAGGGCCCAGGTAGGTCAGCGGGGGTTTGAGCGAAGCAGTTTGCCGGTTCGTATCATTTTGGTTGATCGAGCACGGTCGACACAACGCAGACGCCACAGGCGCGCGGAATATTCGCCGCGGCAGATGGGCACCGCTCATCTGAGCAGGGGGGGGGGGGGGGGGGGGCATCAGTTTAACACGCAGGCTTTCGCGACCAATATTATTCATAACCGTCCGATGATGCTGGATGTAATTACCAGCGAACGTCGCTGTACTCAAATTTAAAATGTTGTGGATTTACTCTCCAACACACCGGTGGGCTGAAGTAGTAACTAATTGGCGTTTTGTTTACGTGACAAATCCCTTGCTGATTGGCTGTGTTGGGTGGTGGAGGGCCACTTCACATTTATACCGACGCTATCTCACCCCAAAACCTTGATTATGAACGACAGCGGGGAATCACTTGGACCTTTGAGCGATGAAGAGCGCGCGTAAACATGTTGACACGGGTAATGATTAACCTTGCACTGCGGGCAGTAATGATCGGCGTCACGGGGGTCGGTTGTTGTGTCTCGGAGCCGAGTGCCTGGATTCCCGGCCCAGGGCTGTGTGGCCTCCTCAAAAGTGTGAGTCCCACGAGGTGCCCTCTGAAGCACACGCACAAGAGCGACGTGCGAACCCACCACCACCATCACCACCACCATCACCACCACCACCACCACAATTTTGCCCAAATGCTCTGCGAGGCTTCAGTCACTATCGCTACTCCATCATAATCAGTAACTCCATCATCATTCGGATATCAACGCAGGTCCACACAGAGAGCAGAGAGGTGGGTGTGGGGGGGGGTCTAAAGACGGGGCGTCGAAGTGGTCTTTCAAGAGAGGGCTCTGCGTGGAGGAGGAGGTGGAGGTGGAATGGAAGTTTAATGGTGTCTGTGGCGCAGAGGCGAACGACACGGACAAGGACGAGGAGGCTTCGTCCGCGGACGTCGCGAGCGACGTCGACGGTGCAGGAGTCCTCTCGGCAGCAGGACCCGCACAACCCCAGCCGCTGCCGCTGCCCGCGCGGACCCCGCATCCAGACGACGGCAAGTCCGTGGCGATGCATCGGGAGCGCGTGCAGAAGCAGGGCCAAGAGCGGCGCCGCATGCACAACGGCAGCAGGGAGGGCGTGGGACGCAGCATCCCTCAGCAGCAGCAGCAGCAAGCCGGCAGGCAGCACGCGCATCTTCGGCCCAACGCCCTGCCGGAGGGCAGCGCCAACCCGCGGCACGTGAAGCCCTGGGGGAGGCATGGCCCGGTGAGCGGGCGCCGGGGGGTTTCCACCTGTGAGGAGGGGAGGGGTGGGGAGGAGGAGGGGGGGGGTGCAGGTTGCAGCAGGCCGGGCCGGTTGCGCAGCGCGAGCGCGCAGAGCAGCGAACGTAGCCACGCATTGCAAATGTGGTTCTTTCGGTAAAGTCACGTCGGTATATATGCTGCCGAGGCAGACCAAGGCTTTCCCACCTGATGGCGGGACGCTTGCGTTGCGCCCGAAACGTCGTGATTCATTTTATTTTCTACCTACTACGTGATGACTTTACCGAAAGAACCAAAGAGCGTGGATTCCTGCAGTGACGAAAGCTTCGAATGAAGATCGTGGCCACGCCGGTTCGATTCCCGGCAACGGCTTACAGCAGTCGGTGGGAGTGAAATCAGAATCAGTCCTGGACCACCCCACCGCCACCACCCCTCCCGTCTTCCCCTTCACGAGCACGCACTGAACACCGGGGCTGGTAGTGCCGATGCTCAAGTGCTGCTCCTGCTGCTGCTCCTGTTGCTGCTGCTCCTGCTGCTGCTGCTGCTCCTGCTGCTGCTGCTCCTGCTGCTGCTCCTGCTGCTGCTGCTCTTGCTGCTGCTGCTCCTGCTGCTGCTCCTGCTTCTCCTGCTGCTGCTCCTGCTGCTGCTGCTCCTGCTGCTGCTCCTGCTGCTGCTGCTCTTGCTGCTGCTGCTCCTGCTGCTGCTCCTGCTGCTGCTCCTGCTGCTCCTGCTGCTGCTCCTGCTGCTGCTGCTCCTGCTGCTCCTGCTGCTCCTGCTGCTGCTGCTGCTCCTGCTGCTGCTCCTGCTGCTGCTCCTGCTGCTGTTGCTCCTGCTACTACTGCTGCTGCTGCTCCTGCTGCTGCTGCTCCTGCTGCTGCTGATGCTGCTCCTGCTGCTGCTGCTCCTGCTGCTCCTGCTGCTGCTGCTCCTGCTGCTGCTCCTGCTGCTGCTGCTCCTGCTGCTGCTGCTCCTGCTGCTGCTCCTGCTGCTGCTGCTCCTGCTGCTGCTCCTGCTGCTCCTGCTGCTGCTCCTGCTGCTGCTGCTCCTGCTCCTGCTGCTCCTGCTGCTGCTCCTGCTGCTGCTGCTCCTGCTGCTGCTGCTCCTGCTGCTGCTGCTCCTGCTGCTGCTCCTGCTGCTGCTGCTCAGTGCCTGCAGGAGCTGGAGGCGGTGGTGGAGAAGATCGAGCGGCTGCAGCGGCGCTCGCGCGAGGAGCGCGTCCCACTCGAGGAGCTGTACCTCCTCTACATCCCCAACTGCAGCCGCGACGGCCTCTACCACGCCAAGCAGGTGGCCACCCACCCACTCACCCACTCGCCCACCCACCCACTCGCCCACCAACTCACCCACCCACCCACTCACCCACTCGCCCACCCACTCGCCCACCAACTCACCCACCCACCCACTCACCCACTCGCCCACCCACTCGCCCACCAACTCACCCACCCACCCACTCACCCACTCGCCCACCCACTCACCCACCAACTCACCCACCCACCCACTCACCCACTCGCCCACCCACTCACCCACCAACTCACCCACCCACCCACTCACCCACTCGCCCACCCACTCGCCCACCAACTCACCCACCCACCCACTCACCCACTCGCCCACCCACTCGCCCACCAACTCACCCACCCACCCACTCACCCACTCGCCCACCCACTCGCCCACCAACTCACCCACCCACTCCCCCACCCACCCACCCACTCATCCACTCACCCACCCACTCACCCACTCGCCCACCCACCCACTCGCTCACTCGCTCGTTCGTTCGCTTACTCGCTCATTCATCTGTGACGGCCTCTACCAGCCGAGGATGCCTCTGTGGATGTGTAGGCTTTGACTTTAACATAGCCATTTCTGTGACCAGTCACAAGCTAATCACTCAGCTATTTCAATGATAAATTCTCCTGTTTGATTTGTACTAGGTGCCTCTGTGGATGTGTAGGCTTTGACTTTAACATAGCCAATTCTGTGACCAGTCACAAGCTAATCACTCAGCTATTTCAATGATAAATTCTCCTGTTTGATATGTACTAGGTGCCTCTGTGGATGTGTAGGCTTTGACTTTAACATAGCCATTTCTGTGACCAGTCACAAGCTAATAACTCAGCTATTTCAATGATAAATTCTCCTGTTTGATATGTACTAGGTGCCTCTGTGGATGTGTAGGCTTTGACTTTTACATAGCCATTTCTGTGACCAGTCACAAGCTAATCACTCAGCTATTTCAATGATAAATTCTCCTGTTTGATTTGTACTAGGTGCCTCTGTGGATGTGTAGGCTTTGACTTTAACATAGCTATTTCTGTGACCAGTCACAAGCTAATCACTCAGCTATTTCAATGATAAATTATCCTGTTTGATTTGTACTAGGTGCCTCTGTGGATGTGTAGGCTTTGACTTTAACATAGCCATTTCTGTGACCAGTCACAAGCTAATCACTCAGCTATTTCAATGCTAAATTCTCCTGTTTGATATGTAAACCCCTTTGTCAAGGTGCCTCACTTCTCTAAACCAGCTTAAAAGACGCTACGAATCTTAGCAGTGTTCATTGTAGCTCTGTCGTCCCGACAGGTTTGTTCCTTTCACCTGAAGAAGGCCACTTGTGTTGTGGCCGAAACGTCGTGAGAATTTTATCGTGTTATTATTTTATTATTTTATTCTCATTCTACGTGACTTTACCGAAAGAACCAAAGAAGATGAATCCTTGCAGTCACGAAAGCTTTAAATCGAAATATAGACCCCTGTTGTTACTGCGCGTTGCGTGACGTTTCCCCTCCCCCCTCCCTCCCCTCCCTCCTACCTTCCCCTCCCTCCCTCCCACCCTCCCTCTCCTCCCCCCCCTCCCTCCTACCTTCCCCTCCCACCCTCCCTCCCTCCCTCCCCTCCCTCCCTCCCCCTCCCTCTCCTCCCTCCCTCCCTCCCCTTCCTCCCACCCTCCCTCCCCACCTTCCCCACCCCTCCCTCGGTGTGCCTCGGCTCGCGCCGCTGCGCGCAGTGCCGCACGTCCCTGAGCGGTCAGCGCGGCGAGTGTTGGTGCGTGCACGCGGACACGGGAGGCCACGTGCCCGGCTCGCCCGTCGTGCGCGGCGAACTCGACTGCGTCACGCGGCGGCGCGAGCCTGAGACGCCCAACCGCAAGTGACGCTTGGGAGTGGCGGCGCGCGACACCACCACCAACACCACCACCCTCCTAGCGCTCCTCCGCGGGTCTCCTTCCTCGGCGGTGGTCGTTGTCGCTGCAGGTCACGATCGACGGTGGGGCGGGGGCGGGGGTGGGTGGGAGGGGGCGTGGGGCTTGCGAATTGTTGACGTGAAGAGATGAGCGGTGACGGCTTATTGTGCGTAGAGAGAGAGAGTCGCGGAGTTCAAATGCGCGTTGTTGGGCTGCCTCGGCGCTTCATGCCTCCCTCCGGGCCACTAACACGCCGGCCGCTGCGTGGGGAATTGAACGGCGGTCGTACGATGGATAGAGGACTCGCTACACTGCAAATAGAAAAGTGACATTGCAACTTTACCGGGCTCGGGGCATTAAGCAGGAGGTCAGCAAACGCTGCAAGCTGGATCAGATGGATACATGGAGCGGGGTCCCGAGTTCAGCAACACCGGATATGGTGCAGATGGAAATACAGCCCCCCAGTAGGGTCCCAGCCCCCCCCAGTAGGGTCCCAGACCCCCCACCACAACAGGGTCCCAGCCCCCCCCCCAGTAGGGTCCCAGCCCCCCAGGAGGGTCCCAGTCCCCCCCCAGTAGGGTCCCAGCCCCCCAGGAGGGTCCCAGTCCCCCCCCCCAGCAGGGTCCCAGCCCCCCCCCCACAACAGGGTCCCAGCCCCCCCAGTAGGGTCCCAGCCCCCCAACAGGGTCCCAGCCCCCCCCCCCCCCCCACAACAGGGTCCCAGCCCTCCCCAGCAGGGTCCCAGCCCTCCCAGTAGAGTCACAGCCCCCCCACAACAGGGTCCCAGCCCCCCACAACAGGGTCACAGCCCCCCCAACAGGGTCCCAGCCCCCCCTAGTAGGGTCCCAGCCCCCCCCCCCCAGCAGCGTCCCAGCTGCCGCTGCCAGCGCGCGGCTCCGTTAACAGCGACAGTGACCGCCGATGACTCTGTTGGGCACCCGCAGCAATGAATAATTTACGTAATGTGTCGGAGTGGCTTCCCGAGTGTGGGGGGCTGCAGTGGAGTCCCGTGCGGTCGTCAAAGCTGGCTGCCTCCACGTTGCGCGCACGCGGCACTGCGGCTGCCAAAACACCCAAACAAAGGCCCCTGAAATCCACACGGGGCCAAGCACAACAAACCGCAGGCTCTTGGTGTCTCTCCTCTCTCTCTCTCTTCCACCTCATGATTAAGTTTTGTAAGCCCTCCCCCCCCCCCCGGGGCGTGGAAGTTGTGCTGACTCACGGGCAACGACTGACGGATCGCAGAAAGGCAGAGTCATCGTTCCCACGAACGTCGCTCGCCACATTCCTCTCCCCGTGGCCGAGGACGCGGTCCACCAGACTGCTCCATCTCGACCGTTGTTCATCCATCACGCTGCAGTGTCGCAAACACATTCACTCACCCACCCACTCACTTAAACCCCACTCACCCAACTCAGCCGCTGCACCTCGGGTAAAAACAATTATCCGTCTCCTCCACGTTTGAATTCCCCTCCCATCACCTCTGCCCCGAGCCCGACAAAAATGCGTTCACTCCTCACGCCTTTAAACGTCAACGGTGCCCTCTGTCGCTGTCCGTTCGGCGTTTTGTGGACCCGTTCCCCGACAGCCCCGTGGGGATGAGGCGACTGTGACGTGCCTCCAGCGCTTGCCGGCGAGTGTGTGGCCATCGTCACAACCATCGTCACAACCATCGTCACCACCATCGTCATAACCATCGTCACAACCATCGTCACAACCATCGTCACCACCATCGTCACAACCATCGTCATAACCATCGTCACCATCGTCATAACCATTGTTACCATCGTCATAACCATCGTCACCATCGTCATAACCATCGTCATAACCATCGTCATAACCATCGTCATAACCATCGTCACAACCATCGTCACAACCATCGTCACCATCGTCATAACCATCGTCACAACCATCGTCATAACCATTGTTACCATCGTCATAACCATCGTCACCATCGTCATAACCATCGTCACAACCATCGTCATAACCATCGTCACCATCGTCATAACCATCGTCACCATCGTCACCATCGTCATCACCATCGTCACAACCATCGTCATAACCATCGTCACCATCGTCATAACCATCGTCACCATCGTCATAACCATCGTCACCATCGTCATAACCATCGTCATAACCATCGTCACCATCGTCATCACCATCGTCACCATCGTCACCGACGTCATAACCATTGTCATAACCATCGTTGTCACCATCATCATAATCGTCATCACCATCGTTACCAATCGTTACCATCGTCATCACCGTCGCCACCATCGTCATCTTATTATTATTATATTGTTGTTGCTGTGTTCTTCTGCCTGCATCCCGTGTTGATGGCATCTGAAGAGCCCAGCTCTTTTTCAGCTCATGACGTGGCGGGGGACGACGCTGGGGAAATAACCGAGCGTGCCGGTCGCAGTTTCGCCTCCCGTCGGCGCCGACAGACGCACGCGCTGCCACGCCGGGGAACGAGTCCGTCATACGCCAGGACCACGGTGGGCCCGACATAACGAGGCCGCGCGTCGTCAAACAGGCGCGCCTTAGGACGTGTCGTGCGCTCGATTTCCGTTGCTGCTCTCGTTATAAAATAAACGTGACCTTTGTTTATTCATCGACCGGAGTTTGGTTCGCGTTCATTTGCCCCCACGGCGCCGATCGCCGACAGCGGCCCGCCCGCCCGCCCGCCCGCCCGCCCGCCCGCCCGCCCGCGTTGCCAACCAGGGTCTCGAGCACGGCTCGCGTGCCGGCGTGCTCACCGCGCTCCCTGAACGATTCAACTCGGGCCTGCTGGCGACGCACTGGCTACGGGAAACAACATGGGTGTGTGTGTGTGTGTGTTTTTGTATTGCCCCAGCAAGGGCCGCGTCGGCGAGCTGATGCCCTCGCGGCGCCCGGTAGGGTTCAGCAAAACCGGCGGCGGCGCTGACGGAAGGGAGCGGCGACGCGCCGGGTGGGACCCCGAATCTCCCCCCCCCCCCCCCCCCCCCGGGCACGCGGTGCCGTTCTCACGTCCTCGGTCAGCTCCAGACCCCCCTCGCCTAGCTCGACAATGTGTGGGTCACCGGTCTGCCATGTGCGTCCAGCAACACACGCAAAGCGTGTTCACCTGGTGAGCCGGCGGACGACGGGAGATTCCGGTTAGCGCGCTCGGACTGCCGCCCGCGAGCCTGACGGTCCGATTCGATGTCCCGGCGCGGCAGGCGAAACCACGGTGCAGTTTTCTTCAAACTCCACCTCTGCCCGACCGGCAGTATTGGTACGCCGCAGGCGATCGGCATATCCCATGCGGTGGGATGAAACGTGGGGCACTCCCAGCTTTTACAACGACACGTCCTGGTCAGCGTGGATTTGGGCCAAACCCGAGCTCTAAGAGCTATCTCTTGCTGGTGGCTGGACCGCTGCAAGCGATGCCCGATTTTTTGGTAATCGCTCATCGATTCAGAAAAACCGCCACCGCTTAAAGCGAGGTTCTTGTTTTTGTTTGTTTGTTATCAGCCCGAGCTTTTTAAAGCCGCCAACAGCCGAGCAGGACGGCGTCGTGTGGCACCGGGCCCTGCGAAGCGCGTCACTAACACCCAGCTCCTAAGCGAGCCCCCAGCGCCGCGCCGGCGAGGTGAGTCCTCGATCCCAACCCTCGGAGTCGCCGCACTTTCATCCCAGCTGCGAGGCACGCGGTTTCGAGCCCGACGTGGCTGTTCGAGCCGCCGCATTAAGCAGTGAAATAAAAAAAAAGACAAATATTGCAAGGACGGGTAATAAATTAACTTTGTCCACCGATTCTGAGAAAAGAAAAAAAAAACAGTTAAGTGGTGGCTGAGCGCGCCGGGTCCCGTGGGGCGCGATTTCTGCCCCTCGGCGTTTCCACGCTCGGTCAAGCCTTCAGGGTCCCGGGAAACCCGCGGCTGCCGTTCGCTCTGCCCGACACTCCGGGCCGTCGGCTGCCGCTGTCGCCAGGGAGTCACCGCCGCCTGCTCTCGGCAGTTAGGCAGGACGGCTGGCCGCTCGCGAGGAAACGTGGGCAGCTTTAGCAGAGTCGAGAGTGGCCATCGCAACCACCGCAACCACGGCGCTCCTCCTGCACCGCTGCCTGGCCTCCCGGCCGTTGCTTGTTTTTTTTTCCTCCTCCTCCTCCTCCTCTCTCTCTCTATCGCTCTCAATTTAGTTTTAAATCTTAAAGGCGCTCGATTCCAGATGTTCGCTGGAGCCAGACGCGGCGTTTCTTTTTCTTTTTTTTGGCACGGGGAAAATGAGGGTCAAGATAAAATGATCGAAACGCGATGTTTAATTTTAGAACGGGTCCCAGCAAAAGCCAAGAAAGCCTCGCTCCAAGAGCAAAGCTGCAAAAACATTGGGGCCTTTGTGTCGAGACAACGGCTGGCACGGACACAGCGAGCGATTGTTCGGAGGCCGCCGAGACCCCTGGCCGAGCCTCAAATTTAGTCATTCACTTCGCGTTTTTTTAAAATTTATTTTTCCTCCTCCTTCAAGCGATGATTTATCTGCGGCAAAAATATAAATGAGCTCGTGAGACCGCCCGGGTCTCTGACGGCACAACGGCGATGCCGCGAGCCTCGTGACTCGTACCGCACGCTCACGTGTGCGTGCGTGTGTGTGTGTTTGTGATTACGTTACTCAGCGTCCTCGTGGCGACCACGGCGCGAGTCGTAGGGAAGGGGAACGTTGAACGCTCGATCGTTGCTCAGCCGGCTTTGTGCTGGTGGGGGACGCGGAGTGTTGAGTGGCGGTTCAATCCTCGCTGTCGCTGGCAATGGGCTCTAGCACTGCAACTATACACTACACTACTATACACTACTATACACTACACTACTATACACTACACTACTATACACTACTATACACTACACTACTATACACTACACTATACACTACTATACACTACACTACTATACACTATACACTACTATACACTACTATACACTACACTACTATACAATATTCACTACTATACACTACTATACACTACTATACACTACACTACTATACACTACACTACTATACACTACTATACACTATACACTACTATACACTACACTACTATACACTACTATACACTACTATACACTACACTA